AAAAGCTGTATTATAAATATATATATATATATGTTTTATATTTATATATATATATATATATATATGAGCTCTGGTGGCATAGTGGATAAGGCATTTGGCTGCTAACCAGAAAGTCAGCTGTTCAAACCTACCAGTTGCTCTGCAAAAGGAAGATGGGGCAATCTACTTCTGTAAAGATATATAGCCTTGAAAACCCAATGGGGGTCACTATGGGTTACAGTTGACTCAATGGCAGTGAGTTTTTCATTATGTATAAATAATTACCCATCCTTGTAAATCAAGTGTCATCTTAATAATTCCCTTAGTTCCAAGACAAAATCAGTATATCTCTCAGAGACCCAGAAAACGTCCAAGTCCAGCTATTTGACCACAGTCTTATCTGTGCAATTTCTGTTAACCCTTTTATGTCTAACACTCTTAACTGTGTTTCTAACCATGGGCCTTTGTGTAATCTTGGCCTAGAAGCAATGGCACATGAAAAAAGACACTTCAATATGTAGTCCTTATTTGGCTGTGACTCTTGTTTTCATCAGCCGGGATGTGTACTGGTGAACTAGCTAAGTAAGGTCCAATAAAGATTGTGGGGCACCGTGCCTATGTTGGATGTCCAGCCTTATGGCTTGTTTCTATAAATACTGGGCACTTTCTCATTAGTGCCTACTGGATTATTAAAACAGTAGTTTTTAACTGAGTAACACTGGCTAGGTCATTTACTAAATGCTAGACTTAGGGCTAACACTCAGATGAGGGGAATCAGACCCATAAGCTGGTTGCTATAGTAAAGACAGCCAGAATATTGTCAGGAGACCCCCAGTTCCTCAGTTCTGTGTGGAATGTGACCTAACTGGTATTTAATGTAATTTTGATACTTGGGATCATTTGTTGTCAAATTCATTTTATAAATTTGTAAGAGTAAGTATGAGAAGTTAACAGTCCAATTGTATGGGACATGTATGTAGACAATAATGAGTTTTCATTTGATTGCTTTTATAGATATTTCCAAACACTATAACCAAAAAGCTACAATAGAGCATGAACTTCCAACAGCAACACAGAAGCTAGTAACAACTAATGACTGTATTCTGTCATCAGTAGTGGCATTAACAAATGGAGCAGGAAAGGTAATTTTTCTCTGCTTTATGTTGATATTAAATTTCTTCCTTAAATATGCTTCTTTATTTTTCTTGAATGACAGGAGAATTGGTCTGTTTACAAGATTTTGGTATATTGGCTTTTTTGTAAAATAAAGTTTTCTCTTTATCCACTCCCTACACCATACTTAACAACATGTTACTGACGGTTTACCATTTGTGGTGAAGGAGCAGATCACTCACAGTTCAGGCCTGAATGCAGTATTTGATGATTTGAAGATTCTAGATGGCCTCAATATAGCTCCTTATGTATAACAAGGGTCTGTTACATAGGCTTATAGAACACTGTGAACATACAGACAGTTAGGACAAAGCAAAAATACCAAAACAATCCCCATTAAAGTTCTGGGATTTTTTTCCTCCTTTTTTTTTTTTTTTTGTTTTGTTTATTTATTTACTGGCTTGATTGATTTTGGGCAAAACTTAACGATAATACTACCTCTTGTGTTTTATATCTTGGCAAGCACTTTTAAAACTGATTTCAACAAATATCTTTTCATTGAACCCTTAATAATTGGTAATAATCATTTGGACCATCAAGCATTTAATTATTATCATAAACTGACTAAAATGCAGTTTAAAAAATAATCCTTCAATTTTGCGTATTCTGTTTTTAAGTGGAAGTCACGTTTTCAGAGTGCATGTTCATGTGGCTGTTGTCAACTCCTTTAATGACTGAGATTTCTCTGAGAACTACTCATAATGTACAAAACCCTAAGGATGATATTCAGAACTATCATATTTTTATGCAAATAACATGTACTTTACACTTTTTTGCGTACTTCACAGGCCCCGTATGTTATTTTCATAAGCTATACCAATATTTTTTTTACATATTGGTGATTTCAATTTCTGATTGCAGTTATTTTTTCTGACCAGTGGATTTAAGGTTAAGTCTTTATCTTGGTGCCTGTTGATGTGAAGGTTTGGATTCCAGCAGCAGACCCTCACCAGCCTACCCTAGAGTTTCTAAAGCAAGACTTCAAAGAAGTTCAAGATGGTTCAGTCAGGGCCAATGGAGCATACACATTGCATGTTGTTGTTGTTATATGCCGTCAAGTTGAACCCAACTCATAGCGACCCCTCCTTGGATTTCCGAGGCAGTATCACTACAGAAGTAGATTGCCCAGCCTTCCTTCTGATACACGTTGCATAGTAACCAAATTCTTATGCATGGGATTTTGACCAGAGTAGAAAATAGGCAGCAGGGCCCCCCTCAAAAATGGGTAGCCAACCATTCTGCTTTGAATGTGTGTTGGCTGCCATCTTTGAGTGGAGGACCACTGCCTGTTTCCTACTCTGGTCAAAATCCTATGCATAAGAGATTTGGTTGCTATGCAACACATACACTCCCTTAGCTGTGACTAAACTGTTTCAAATCAGTTTGAAGCCCCTGTTCTAAAGCAGCCCCTCTCCCAGTAGTATTCCTTACCTGCTTTGCAAACCACTTTCTCCAGTGCAGGAAGAAATCACTTTTTCTGCCCCAGAAACAGCCCTTGCCAAGGCAACCTGCCCCAGCCCAGGAGACATGTGGATCTGTATACCCCAGGCCGTAGAGGCCACTCATGTGGGTAAGGCCAGTGTGCCACAGCCACATGCATTCTATCCCACTGTCTGGTTGGCTGGCCGTTGCACTCAGGCTATTTGAATCTCCCCACTGTGCAGATGCCGTGGGGTGAGCATGAGAGCTGCAGGCCCAGAGGGGTTATGTGTCCCTCGCTCAGATGAGATGGATCCTGCTGGCCTCCCGGGGGTTCTGTGGGACTGGGGCAGTGTGTACCTCCACCTTCCTGCTGACTGGCTTCATGTGGGGCCAGCACTGTGGTACCTGGGCATTTGTATACAATAGCCCCTACCTACCACGGGACCACCCCATGCTTGGGTTATGGCAGCCTCATGTGCAGCCCTCCTCCCAACCTTCCACCCATCTCTGGTGTGATATCCTTGACCACTGCTTGGCTATAAGGAATTCCACCACTCTCAGACCCAGCTGCAAACTGCCCCAGAACAAATGTACAATTTCACTAGTTTATTTTCCAGATAACCAGGGTACTACCAAGCTTAATCCATGACCTCTTCACCAGGGCTTACACCTTTATTACACAAATATAATCAAAGTAACATTTTTGGACTATTGAGGGTGAATGAGGCCAAAATTCACTTCTGGAAATGTCGTGAGACATGCACAGTATATGCATAGATTCACTATGCTAGACATAAGGAAGATGGGGCAATCTACTTCCGTAGTGATACTGTGTCAGAAACCCAAGGAGGGGTCGCTGTGAGTAGGGTCCGACTCCATGGCATGTAACAACAACAACAACAACAACAGACATAATTTTGTCATTTCTGCCCATTATATGTGTCTGTACCTTATTTACATGGGCACATTGTGAAAAATACAGTATCTTAACCCATTTATTTCAGCAGATTCAAGGTAATTTCTGAAAGAAATACTAACCTCTGAATATGTATTTATATGTCATTCTTTTGCTGACAGGTTGACCATAATGAGAACAATATTTTTCATATGGTTTAAGTTAATCAGAAATGATCATAGATCATGTTAGACATTCAGTATCATCTTTCACAAACTCAGACTGGTCTTTATCATAGTTTGCAATAACATGGGGCCATGATTAAAAAGTGTGTGCTGTCTCTTTTGGTCAGCTCACAAATGTGTGTCTACAGGATTCCTGAGCCTGACAACCATCCCCACCTATTCTTTTTTTACTTCCTTCATCTATAGACAGACTGGAAGCTTTCTGATACTAACTTACTAATTGAGAAAAATTCTGAAAGAACAGACTATTGGCCTTTTGTAGGAGTCTCTGCATTTGCTCTTTTATGAGCACTCTATAATATTAAATAGGTGTACATTTCATAGTTTATCTTAGATTTGCTTTGCCTGAAATTTTAACATGCTATCTTAAGGAAAGTAGCTGATCTTCACTTTGGAATTTATGTAAGTGGTTTTTTCATTTAAAAGAATAAGTTATTTGAACTAATGTTAGTTGATCACAGTTTAATTCTTACCAGTACAGTTTGGAGGTGTTCTTGTGGCATGGTGGTTAAAACATTTGGCTGCTAACCAAAAGGTCAGTGGTTCAAATTCACTAGCCATTCCACAGGAAAAAGCCTTGGGAACCCCGTAGGGGCAGATCTACTTTGTCCTTTAGGGTTGTTATGAGTTGGAATCGACTTAATGGCAGCAGGTGACTAATACAATTTGATTAAATTTTACAATTTGTAATTCCCAATAGGAAAGCATAGCATGTATATATTTTTTAAAAATGGAAAATATGGAAATATTAGAGGAAAGATAATAAATTTCACTGTACTACTCTGACTGAAATATATACTAGGTATGACTTACATGTAACTTATAGCTCAAGTTTTTGAAGTCCTCATTTTCCTAAATACCTGTATGGTAAGGACTGGCATGAATCCAGTTCCTAAAATGTGAATTGGATTGGCCCAGTCCTCACATTCCCAATTCTCCATCCTTGTCACCAGTCAGCCCATGGCATTCTCTCTTTGACCCTAGCCACCCTGAGCTAGGGCTGGGTTCATAAGTCAGAAGGACACCATCCTTTAGACTGCCATATAGATAGACACCAGCCTAAAGTTTGAGGAGTCCCCATAACACCCTGACCTTCTGACCGACCTGCTGGCCACAAATTCAGTGCTGGTTCTCATTACCCCTTTAGGATGCAAGTTGCCAGCTGGGGGGTCCACACGATACCCTTACTTTCTGACCTACAGGCTCCTGCTGCCCGCTTGTGTTTGATAATTTGCTGAGACAATTCATAGAATTCACAGAGAATATATATTCCCACCAGTCACTCCTTGGAAGGAAGGTTGGGCAATCTATTTCCATAGTGATACTACCTCGGAAACCCAATGAGGGGTCACTATGAGTCGGGTCTGACTCAACGGTACATAACAACAACAACAACAACATATATACCATACTTAGGAGTCCTGGAGGTTAAGCTGTTAGCCGAACGGTTAGTGGTTTGAACCCACCAGCTGCTCCATGGTAGAAAGATGTGGCAGGCTGCTTCCATAAAGATTACAGCCATGGAAACCCTATGTTCTACCCTGTGCTTACAGGGTCACTGATTCAGAATTGACTTGATGATAGTGAATATGGGTGTACCATCCTTACAATTCCAGATTTATTATAGCCAAAAGGAAAGAGGTGAAGAGACCCAAAGGGCAGGGACAGGGACTGTGAGTGTTCCCAACATGGAGCTTCCTGTAAAGCTTTACCCTTCCAGGAGCAGATATTCCTGTCAACTAGGAAGCTCTCTGAGCCTTAGTGTTTCAGGCTTTTATCAGCCAGTCTTGCATGCTAGACTGAATTATGACTCCTGGGGCTTAGTTGGTATCAGCCTCCCAAGTGGGTCTTTCCTGGCCTGGCTAGCCTTCACTAGTCAGTACAAATCCTCCAGTGTACCCTGGAAGTCCCACACCAAGGCACCCCAGTTACTCCAAAGGTTATTTCTCTGGAGTCAAGGACAAATGCCACCTTACTCGGGGTAAAACTAGGTCCTTTACCAATACTATCATAATTTCATGTGTCAAAATAAAACATGAATGAAAAATATAACCTGTTTGACCATTAGTGATGTTTTACTTAATTTTTTGAGCAGTTTTTGCCAAGGTAGAGCACTGTGTTTCACAAGTCACTTTTTCTTCCTTATGGGAATAGAATATTTTCCAATGTATCTAAAACTCTCTTTTTTCTGGCTAAGAGCCTTCTCAGACATTTTTATTTTTATCATCATGTCATGCATGTAGTGCCTTAGTTCCAAAATCATGGCTTGGCAAAATTGCAGTCATGGGTCTCTGTGACAGTTACATAGATTAGACAGCTGTTACATATGTAAATCATGAGGGAATGTCCAGTCTTTTGTTCCAGTTATATTTGTAATTCATTAATTGAGATTTACAGAATAGATGAGTAGAGATTACATATTCAGGATGCTTGTGTCATATCTTCTGTTGGACGTTTTGCATACTTCTATATGCAAAGTTAAAATACAAATGAAATACCAAACAGGGATGGTTCTGCAAACAGTGGCAGAAATTAATGAGGTAAACAATTCATGAATGTCACCTGAAAAATAGATCAGAATCTGTTTTCCTCTTCAGACAGGATAGAAATTGTCTAGAATGGGACATGTTAGATGTCTAATCTCCGTATTTATACTGATATCCTCTTTATTATAAATCACTGCCTAGGTATTCTCCTCAGATAAATAAATGTGAGCTTTTGGGCAGGTGTTACAATTTCATTTCCATTCTCAGCATCTTTAAACTTTTCTCTGAAAGCTATTAGATATATATTTAGATATATTACTGGAACACCAAATCTGTCTTCTTGTCATACTTCATTTAGATTGCATCTTTCTTCAGCAACAATGTGGACTACTTCATTGCTTCACTGAGCTATGGGCCTAAGGCAGCGAGTGGATTCATTAATCCTCTTTCCGCTGAATGCATGCTGCAGTACAAGAAAAAGGCTGCTGCCTATATGAAGGCTTTGAAAAAGGTCTGTGAGCTGCTGTTAACATTTGAATCAAAGGAAAAATTAGGAATAATTCTAGAGAATGGCAACAATTTTTCCACAGTTCATACTGTTTAGCTTTTACATAATTTGTGGGTATTGGTGGATGGTGGGTGGTCTGTGGGGAGGAGGGAGTGACAGAGACCTGAACCTCATTTGATAAGCAGCTTTGTGTATAAGCATTGACCATGCTGGACTCATGTCCCTGGTTTTAGGCAGATGGCAGGCAGTCACTAAATATCAGACTTCAGAAAATCTTACAAAAAATTGAAACCTGTTCATAATTGTTTCTGAGTATGAAAATAGTCATTCTAGAAAGAAATTAGAAGATATAAGTACATGAAGAAGAAAATTAACATCACCTGAAATCCAAACCCTCAAAGGAAACTACTGCTAACTTTGTCAGAGTATATGTTTCAAAAAATATTTTAATGCACACACATTTATATATGCTAATAAAAGCAAAATGTGTCTTTGTGCTTACTACTGTTTTTAAATATTTTTTCTCTTAAGTATTGTGGATATCTTTATATATCAATTCATATATGCCTATAAATATAAATTATTGGCTTCATTAATGTGCCAGTGATATTTGATCTGTAATATTTTGTGCTATAAATGTGTAATAATTTAATTAGCCGAACCATTGCTTGTGGTTTCTCATTTTTCACTGTTAGAAACAGTGCTACATGTAGTTATTGTATATGTAACTTTGTGCATTTGTTTTTTACTTTTTCCTCCTCATTTCTTTTAAATTTTTTATTACACTTGATACATAAACACATTCTTACATTAATTTAGAACATGACAGGTAAATTGCAGTATTTAATTCCATTTGCTCTCTAGAGATAACCATAGTTATTGCAAGTTCTGTGTGTAATCTTCTAGACTATTTCTGAGCATTTATATTTATATCTGTATAAACCTATAGAAAACATACAGTATTTTTTTTTCCACCTAAATATATATATAAGGAGCTCTGGTGTCAGAGTGGTTAAACCATTGGACTGCTAACCAAAAAGGTCAGTGATTCAAACCCACCAGCTGCTTTCAGAAGAAAGATGAAGCAGTCTACTTTCATAAAGATTTACAGCCTCGGAAACCTTATGGGGCAGTTCCACTCTGTCCTGTAGGGTCTCTATGAATTATAATAGACCCAATGGCAGTGTGCTTTTGGTTTTTGAAATGTATGTTGTTTTGTGCAGCTTGCTTTTTTCATTTAAAATATGCTTTAGAGATCTGTTTGTATCGTTACATATGGTACATACTAAATTCCTTTTAAATATGATATGTTGTTTTGTGCCGTCGAGTCAAACCCGACTCATGACGACCCCTCCTTCGGTTTCCGAGGCAGTATCACTACGGAAGTAGGATTGCCCAACCTTCCTTCCGAGGAGTGGCTGGTGGATATGAACCGCCACCTGTCTGGTTAGCAGGCAAGTGTCTTAGCCACTATGCTACCAGAGCTCATAGAATTCTATAATATCAGGGTTCTGTGGTTTATGTAGGTGTTCCCTTATTGATGAGCATGTAGGTTCTTTTCTTTTTTTCATCGTTAACATACTACTGCAATCATAACTCTGAAAATGAGGGTTTGGGTTTGAGAAATGGGATGTGTTCTTGGTCATGTGGCTTGCATAATTTTTCATTGTTACTTTCAAATTGCCCTTCAGAGTGGCTATACTATTTTACATTCTCAAAGTGTAAAGGCATTTCACTGCTAACCAGAAAGTTGGGGGTTCAAACCCACCAGCCACTCCATGGGAGGAAGATGAGACAGTCTACTTCTGTAAAGTTATACAGCCTTGAAAACCCAATGGGAGTTGCTGTGAGTCAAATTGACTCAACGGCAGTGGGTTTAGCAATGTGTACAGCTACCTATCTCCCTTTGTTTTTAAATTATAGCCTTAAAATTAAATCCCAAAGATGGAATTGCTGGTTCAAAGTCTATGCGTGTTTCAAATTTTGGCACATTTTGCCAAACGACACTTCAGGAGGTTTACTGATTTACAGTTTACCAGCAATACAAATATAACTTTAACCAAGGATACTGTAATTTTTAAAAATACATGTCAGCATGACAGATGAGAATTTTTTAATTTTAATTTTGCATGTCTTTGCTTATTAGGGGGAACATCCTTAAAGTTTATTATTTGTATTTATTTTCTTAATCCTCTGTTCAAATCTTTAACCTATTTTAAAAAAATACCTTTAATTAGAGTTGAAGGAGCCCCTTATATAACAAGAATTTTAATCCTCTGTTTATGATGGAAGTATTTTTCCCCTAATTTCCCCTATATTCTTTAAAATTGGAGGTTTCCTTTTTATAAAATGTCTTTTTTTCTTACAATGGTGATCCTCATCCAGGGGTACTTTTTAAAATTAAAGAAATAGCCATGTATATTTTCTTCCAATATTTTTGTGCAGCATTCATCACATAATAAATTTTGTGTATGTTGTTGTTAAGTGCCGTCGAGTCATTTCTGACTCATAGCGACCCCATGCACAGCAGAACGAAACACTGCCCGATCTCGCGCCAGCCCCACAATCCCTGCTATACTT